GATGATAAACAGCAGTTGTTAAACATTTGGACATGCTTTGCTGGGTAACTTTCACCTAGGAATGCTAACAAAAATTATCTGAGCAGCTCTGAGCTGCTGGTGCTGATATTTTTACAAGTGTTGGAATACCAGGGACTAATCTTGGGGGAAAATAACCACCTAAATGTTGCCTCTGCATGAAAATGGGTAAATTCAGGATAACGTTAATCCCAGGCAGTGATTGTGAAACTGTTACTGGCAGAGGGCTGGAGAAGTGCAGTGTGTCTGTCACTGATCCATGGGGATGTTTGGAAAATAGCTTTTCAGAGACTCTCTCCAACCTCTCTAGTGGTAAGAAGAAGGTATTAGGAAATGACAGTGGAGGTCACGTAGCTTTCCCTGCTCCTGACCTCTCCCTCCCAGCACCAGTTTCCGCTTTCCTGACTAATCAGAACAACCAGGAAATGCTCCCATAGGTAAAACCACTTCGCTTGGCATCTTTAAAAATGAATATTGAACTGCTGTTGGAGTATCAAGGTTGTGGCAAGATCTGGCTTGGCAGTGCTGATAGGAAGAGCAGCGGATGTGCACACCTGACCTGTGTGGGAATCTGGACGGGTTTGTCTTGGTGTTGGTTTTATGGCCTGTCTGGTTGGTGGCTCCTATGTAGTTGCTGCCTGTGGGCTAAATGAGTAGTGGGAGGTTGTCTCTCTCTGCAAGCTGAGACCTTTCTTTGCCAACCAGCAGCTGTTGGGGCTCCTTTGAAGTTGTTTGGTAAACTGAGCATAGGAAAGACTTTGAGCCATTCATGTAGGAGTGAAAGACGCCATGGGAATTTCTGCATGCGGGTAGCAAGCCTAGACCTCACTGAGCTGGGCTGTTGATCCCTAAAATTGTCAGCAGGAGTGAACTCTGGTAGCCCTTTCTGAAGCCTTTTCCATCGTATTTTCCTGAGTTAGATGTTGCAGCTAATCAGAAATGATTCTGAGTGTGCCTATCGGTTTTCCTTATACTTGCATTTATTTCCCACGGGCACAGTCTCAGTCCCACTATCAAATCAGGCTGTCTCAGAAGTGAATCGTTGTAATTCAGATAGTTTTTTCCCCTAAGCAAAACAGAATTTGGCAGAATAATAAAAGCTTTTGTGCATTTAGGCTTTTTCCTTGAGGAGTTGAAAGCTCTTCTTTGGTCCTATGGGAAGCATATATCAGCAGTGCTAATTATAATCACAAGACAAGCTGGTCGCTGCGTGGAGGCAATAGGAAGTATCAACTTCTCACTAAAACTGAGCATATTGTGGTCTACTGATTATGTGCAGCTATGGCAGATATTGGCAGTGGGTTGTATTTCTTATTACAGCTTTTCTGCTATAGCTATTCTTTGACTTTCAGTCTCATTATCAACCTTGGGGAGGAAAAAAACCCTCAGAAAACCAATACAACAGAAGTTCTGTTGACAAGGTAGTGCCGAGGTGGTCAATTCTTTGTTATGGTCAGTGCAGATGGAGAGAGCATGGGGGGAACTTACCTTTTCCATACAGACAGAACTAACAACCACGTCTGAAGAGTGATGCTCTCTCTTCTTTCAGGTTGCAAACCCCATGACATAAAGCAGGGGCTCAATTAGTGCTTTAGGGTGCCAAAGCAGAACTGGGTGAGCAAATGCTCGAGTATGTGTGGAAAACAATAGTTGTGGCCCAAATCTGTGGGGTTTTTAATACAATCTTACAGTGAGAATGAGCTCTAAACCCTAAGCTGGTTATCACAGGCTCTCCAGAAGAGACAACTGTCATATCGATCAGAGTGATTGTATGCAGTAAGATGCTTTGATGGTTGTCTCATGAATTTGTGTGTTCTGCCCGCACAAGAGCATTCTCTTGGGGTGCAATAGGAAAGGTTATTCTCTGTATAAAGAGCAAATGCTACCAAGGATCGAGCAGTAACTCTGCTTCTTAGAAAAGATGAATGACTGAACATGGTGAATCATCACTGACGTGGTTTTTCAGAGAAACACCCAACGTTCCTTTGAGACTTGCTGAATAAGCAGTTGCTGCAATTTTTTGGCTGTGTGTGGAGTAGCCTCTTCCTACTTCCCAAAAACGCAGCAACGATCACAAAACAGGAAAAGCCACATTAGTGGCAAATCTGGGTTTCCAGGTGTCCCTTTAAATCAGTTTCTGTTGCAGTTTTTCCCCTGGTTGAATTGCAGTCAGCTCTGTGGGTTTTTGTTACTATTTATGAGGATTTGGGCTTCTTGTTTTGCAGGAAAAGACCTTAATTATAATTTCAAATGGGGAAGAGAAGGGAATATGGAGGGTGCTGCCAGGCTGGCTTTCTGAAACAGACACTTTCATTCCAGTGTAATAGTTTTGTGTTTTGGTTTGTGATATCTTGGATTTCTATAATTTCCAACTAAACTGCTAGGATGTTTGGGGGTCTTTTCCAACCCAAACTATTCTATGATTCTATGATATAAAGTGTTTAAAATAACCTTTGGTTTCATGCTTACGAGGCTTGAATTTGTTCTAGGAGGCTCAAAAACACTACAGGTATTTGAAATCTGTTGTTAATAATGGATATTTGAAATGAATTTTAGAAACTGGACTAGGTTTTTGCCTGAGCAGCATTGTGCTTCGGAAGGAAACCTCAGTAAATAAATTCTGGATTAGTTAAGGTTGAACACACAAGGTAATTCCATCTGGTAACTGTTGCCTTTGCCTCTTGTCTGGAATAGTTATAATTCCTTATTTACACTATTTACTTTTCATGGTGGTAAATGTTAAATGGGAATTTAATTGTGCGGAGGGATTCTGTGATGTGCCCCACTTTGTTTGTTTGCTTTCATCCAGGGGTACATTGATGTTTTTCAGTATACCTGCTTTTAATTTAATTTAATTTGAAAGAGGAGACTTAGTTCTGTTTGGTTCTGAAGGCAACTTCCAAAACCAGAAGTCGCTTTACAGTACTTGAAGGAATTTACTAATAAATGCCTGTAGTGGATTTTTGACTGTGAAGCTGAATTTATAGTACTTCATGGATCAAACACTCAATTGAACTATCTAACTGGTAGGCAAGTACATGCCATTACTGTTGCAGAATGGACAAATCTGGTATATAGACTCAAGGCTTTGAGCAGTCTGGTCTAGTGGAACCTGCCCATGGCAGGAGGGTTGGAACTAGATGATCTATAAGGTCTTTTCCTACTCAAACCACTCTGATTCTACAATTCTATGGTGCTGGAAATGCTTTTGTGTATTTGTTATTTCATTATTGGCTGTTTATGATAATTTGGAATGAAGCCTTAATTTTAATATCTGAAAAAAATGTACATAATGCTCTGGTCTGTCCTTTTCATGCAAGACTTCTGTTGGTGTAAGCAGTTCAACAAAACGAGGTGGCATTTGACACCAAAAAATCATTCAGCCCTTCACATAAAATACGATAGAAAGTTTGTGCCAGGGTGAGTGAAGTCATCTGAGCTGAATAACAAATGATTTATCATGTGATGCTTGCTGCACTGCAGGCAATAGCTGGGTGGGTACTCACGAGTCGCCTGGCACAAGTGCAAAGAGCTTTTCCCATGTTCCTTGTGAGCCATGGCTTGAATTGGTGCTTGGTTTAGAGTTTCCAGTTCTCACTGTGGATTTTGTAGCTGCAGGTGTTCAGTGCCACTGAGCACATTCAGGGAGGAAGCTGGGGGGATTTAGTGGTACTTTGAGCACTGGTGTGGGTCCTGTCCCCCTGGCCAAGCATAGCAGAGAAGATGAATGTGCTTAAAAATCACTGGGGACATGAGCCTCTCGTGCAACGTTAGGCTTCTACAATTGGAAGTATGAAAGCACAGGTTCTATGGCTTCTTCCCCTCTCCTCACTCCGGACACTCTCCACCTCACGTCAGTGTTGGGAGTTGCATTTTCTCAGGCAGCACCTTACCTTTTAGCTTTCTGTTTTCAAGTTTTTCAATGTAACTTATGTGGCCACGGGATTATCTGTGTAATAAGACTTCAAAGAGAGCTGTATTTATAGAGCTTCGTGTGTGCAAATGGTAAAGGAAGTACCTGTTACTACACTTAGCCCACATAAGGTTTATTCCCTTGCTAATTAAGCAATATCTAGAATGGAGATTATAGGCTTTCTAGGAAAAGGACTTGCCTTGTTTATGATCTTTGAAATGTCAGAATTGTTTTTAGAGCTGCTTTCAAACTTGAACAGAGCAGGGCTAAACTAAATCACAGCTTCCTTGAAGTCTAAGTAGCTATACAAAATACTTGATATCTATTCTTGAGATAATTAGATAAATCTCAAACAATGATGTTGCTGTATTGACCAGGTATTAGTCTACGAAAGGTACAGTGGAGCTTGAAATGAAGAGACTGAAAAGAATTGTGCTTTATGAATGTAATTGTGGCGGGAGAACTATTAAATCTTCAAATGTAAAAGTGGTTCACTGAGATTTAGCTATCTCTGCATAGTTAATGTATAAATAATTAACAGTAAACATGCATTATAAATGAAGAATTGTCATAATGAGGAGCTGGTAAGTTCTAGTTACTCAAGCATACTCCAAAGCTTTCATGGTAACCTTTCTCGTACAAAAATAATTAGAGGTTGGGCAGCTGTGGGTATTTACTGGCATTTATTCTGTTATGATGGTGGCAGTAATTCCTGGGGGCTACTTGTTAGATGTTGAAGGTGAGGAGAGGAGAGGTTCCTTCAGCTGTTGTTGGTAGAGATATGTGGTGACTATGTCCTGCTGATCTTTCTCCTTAACTAAATTAAACTGTTCAGGTGCTTCACAGGTCTTCCAGCTCTGGGATCTCTCTTTGTCTTCTACTCCATGGGGCAGAAGGAGACAACTGCTAGTGATGGGTCTGAGCAAACCCAGCTTAAAATCTGGACCTGAATATTCTGTTTCTGGCAGTTTCCTAATTGGATAGTGCTCCTATTTTGAGAAGTACCTAATAGCTTTCTTCACCTTGTTAGTTCTCATTTCTAATAACTTTTTCCTTTTATTAGGAATACATCATCCGTGTCCAGAGAGGAATTTCAGCAGAAAACAGCTGGCAGGTAATTTCCTAAACTGTGCTTCATGGAACCAGGATGCCTTTTTAGGAAGAGGTTGAAAATTCTGTCTTCCTTGCTTTTTAAATATGAGCTGGAGAGGGAATTGTTGGTTTGGAATTGAGAACATGAGGAGCTTGAATACTTTTGGTCAAAAACTAAGAGAAAAACAGTATTGCTGCCAGCTACAGAAGGCTGTTTCTGCTGCTGTTGTGAATATTCCAGCAAAAATGCTCGTGGGTTACAACCGTGTATTGGTATGACCATAATTTGTAAATCTCGAATGCCAGGTTGCCTTTCTTAGTGCTAAAACTACAGACCTTGTTGATATGTGACAAGCTAATGAAGATGACTGTGGAAAGTTCTTGCAACTCATGTGGCAAAAGTGCTTTGTTTGCAGAAAACTTGGCTTGCAAGTATTTTCCTTAAGCTGTTTTAAGATAATGTTTAAGAATGCATTTTCATTCTGGTCAAGATGTGATTTATAACTCTTCGCTCTCTGGTATTGTGACATTAATCCAGCAGTTAAGAATTTGTACAAAAATAGTTAAAAGAAGATGTGTATAAATAGGAATTACTTATCTCTGATGGGATTTTTGAAGAGTAAAATGCTAATGGGAGAAGTAATATGTTTCCTGAACTTTGTCTTTCTATCTTACAGATCGTGAGGCGATACAGTGACTTTGACTTGCTTAATAATAGCTTGCAGGTAACTTTCATCCTTGATATATAAATATAAAATTTCATTAGAAGGGTATCTTTAAAATGACTTGTGATACAGTGAAGAAGAAATAAAATTTCACATAGATGTAAAGAGAAACTGTGTCTGCAAATGTAACTCAAATGTATACTTTTTTCACTCATGTTTTCTCTTGTGAAATTTAAGTTTTAGCATCAACTGGACCAATTTATATAGAAATGGAGAAATTGGCAGCTACTGAATCTTTCCCTTCAATACTGTGACTTGTTCCGGTTTTATGTGTTGTCATTTGTTCCTGCTTTGAGTTGAGGAAAGCCAAGGCACATCCCAACCTTCCAAATTCAGCATTGAAGTGCTATGTGTCTCATTATTTATATCCGTCTAAAAGCACTACCAGATGCTGCTTATCATGTGATGGTTCTCTGTATCACTGGAAAGTGTTCCTTAGTTAAACACTGGACTTACTATGTGTGTTTCCTTTGCTTCTTAAGACAATTCTTTCTTTTTAGTTTGTGTGGGAAAAAGCAGGGTATATGAGTGTGTCTGGGAAAAGGGGGAAGCAGCAGCAACTAGCATCTACAGAAGCGAAACTTTTTCCATAGTATGAGGTAAACAAGATAAAAAGTGAATGCTTCTGTGATCTGAGGATAGATTTTTGTGACTTTGAAATTACTTTCCCTGTTAAATGTTATGTGAATTCAAGAGTTTAATACTGCTTCCACTTCCTCTGTCTTCCCCTCAATCAAATCAGCTGTCTGCTTGATGAACTTCAGTGATCAAAACCATGTAAGGATGTTGAACTGTGTATTCTGATAATCTGCTATAACTGATTCCAGTGCTAGAAGGTGGATGGAGCGGAGCAAATTAGTCATAATTCAACAGATGCAACACAGCTGCTGTGTGGAATTATGCAGTAGGAGTGGAGTAGCTGTAGCTCTTAGGAACTTTTATCATGACCTAGAAACCTCTTGTGTGATGTGCTAAATAAATGCAATACAGAGAGGTCTCCTGCTCCAGAGAAATCCAAGATTTAAGATTAGATAAGCATCCATGGAAACACAAGGAAATGAGGTTATACTAGTTGATGCAGTACATAGTGGTCGGTGTTGTCTTAACTATAGTCAAGTTTTGATAGAGATCACAGAGAAAACATTTTGAGAAGGTTTTAAAAAGAAGAAAGAGTTTACTTTTGCAGCCAGCAGTAACAAGCTCCTCTTAAGCATGGGGAATAGAATATGTTAAGGCATGAAAAAGCTTTGTTGCCTTCTCATTTAACTTTCAAATGAGGCAGCTTTAGTAGAAAAGGCAATGGACCTTTAAGACTTAAAATTCAGAAATGACAGGTACTGAAAGGTTAGGCCTAGGTGGAAGATCTGTAAAGTGAAGGTAAATAGGTTATGTATGATGTAGTACAGAAAGAAAAGGCCTTTGTATCTGAGACAGAGGTGAATGATAAAAGTGGAGGGTTCAGGAAGTTATTTAACAGCAACTTGTAGAGTAGGGCAAGGAGCAATTTGAAACAAGAGACACAGAGATTTTGCAGGTATCAGGTACCAAGATCTGGGACAAAAACTTGAGCTGCTTGGATGGCTAGAAAAGATCAAACAGAATCATCCAGGCATACCTGTAACTTGGGTAGGAGGATATACAGAGGGCAACAGGCCATGTTCTATAGCATTTGGTCTCCTTCAATGCAGACTGCTGCTCACTGTTGATGTTCAAACTCCTATTTCCGCTTTCCACAGTTAGGAGGGGCAAAGATGTATCTCTGCTTGGAGACAGCCTTTTCTGGCTAGTACAGAGAGCTGCCCTAAGAGGTGTAATTCTTCATTATGTGCCCAGCAGAAGGGGAGGAGGAGGTTTTTAAGCCTTTATCAAAGATGCACAGCACTGCTATGACAAACATCACTGTTCCTCCAGCCTAGTTCCATATGCCAGGCTGAAGAGACAGCAGACAGTAGCTGACAAGAAGCATGTTTAAATTGCTCTTTTCTCCCACTGTTTTGAAGTTTTTAATAAATCGCTTTTTGTGATGCTGGAGCTGAGGTTTTCTGATCCATTAAGATAATGCAACACTCCTCAGTTCTTTCCAAACAAAATATCCCCCTCCCAACAGTATAAAGCAATGAACAATAAGAAAATTCCAAACCCCAGTCTCCTTCCTGCAGAGCTAAAATGTTGCTGGAACAACTGTTGGAGCTTCTTTTGGGTGTAAAGCTCCAACTTCTTCCAGTTCTTGTGGCGTACTTGATCTCTCTGTAGGTTTGGGTGGTTGTGTTTGAACACAGCTGCAGTTGAGTTGGAATGTGACTTTTCTGCTCTTAATCTGGTGCTGCCTTTGTAATAATAGTAAGCTGGGAATTTCAGAACTCTCTAGTATAGGGGATGCAGTCCTACCTGTCGTGGTTTAAGCCCAGCCGGTAACTCGGAACCACGCAGCTGCTCGCTCACTCTCCCCTCATCTTCCTCCCCCCACTCCCAGAGGGATGGGGAGGAGAATTGGAGGAATGTAGCTCCCACAGGTTGAGATAAGAGCAGTTCAGTAACTAAGGTATAATACAAACCACTGCTGCTGCCAATAATAATGATAAGAGGAATAACAAGGGGAGAGGACACACCGCTCACCACCCACCGACCGATACCCAGCCCGACCCGAGCAGTGGTCTGGGCCTTCCGGGTAACTCCCCTCAGTTTCTATACTGGGCATGATGTGCTGTGGTATGGAATAGCCCTTTGGTCAGTTTGGGTCAGGTGTCCTGTCTCTGCTTCCTCCCGGCTTCCCCTCCTCCCTGGCAGAGCATGAGACTGAGAAAGTCCTTGGTTGCAGTAAACATTACTGAGCAACAATTAAAAGCATTGGTGTTATCAGCATTGTTCTCAGACTAAAGTCAAAACCACAGCACTGCACCAGCTATTAAGAAGGAGAAAAATGACTGCTACAGCTGAACTCAGGACACTACCAAACACCTTGGAAAACAATGAGAGGTGTGTACTTGTGACCCTGATCTGCATCAGAAAGTTTCAAGCCAGGTTCCCTGAAATCTCAGTTGTGAACTGGATTGAAAAGCTCTTTCCAAACCACCCTGCATTTCTTCCTCTTCACTTATTAGACAGAGATGTGTGGAGATCATTGGCTGCTCTTCTGTTTTGTCAAATGAACTACTAGTACAGTATTCACAGCAAGATATCTGGCTTTTGTGAAGCATTTTATTGCAGCTTTTGAGCAGACATTCCTGAGCAGGCTGTGGTTTGAAGAATGTTAATTCCCAGGTTCTTCTCTGGTGAAGCCCATCCTGGCTCCAGTACTGAGCTGGGGCCATGGAGAAGTACTGCTCGTGTTTGAAGGCATGTGGGGTCTCTGCAGGGTCATGGCTTCAGTGAGGTGGTGTTCTGTGCTAGATGGTGTTCTCGCTGTGCTGTGTGTTTTGGCAGATTGCTACAAAAACCTGGGGGTGAATGTTACTTTCTGCTAAAAAAATAGCAGATGTGTGGTTTATTGAAGTAAAACATCTGAACTGAAGTCCTTTTCCCTCTGATGGTCCTTTTCTCTCTGATGTCAGCTGGCTGTCAGGTCAAGAAGGTGAAGGTGATTATGATTTGACATGCTTTTCCAGTGACTAATACGAGAAGTGGATTTAGGTTTAGTTTAGAAACTTGCTTTTGAGTTGAAGTAAGAGTGGTCCACCAAATGAAACTCTTGCATGCTTCTGGTGTTAAAACTGGAGTTTAATCCTGGATTTATTTTTGTTTTCCCCTTGGGTGTGAAAGAGAATTAAAAACTGCTCAGTGGATAGCATGTTTTTCATTAACATCTTCTGTAATTCTGACATAATTATGGTTCTTTTACAGCCCATGATTTCCAGTTAAAAACTGGAGAAGTAGAAGCACTACAGTTAGTGAGGGGACAACTGTGTTCAAAAGGGTGTAGAAAAGGCAAGGGATTGCTGCTTCTGCCCCAGTTTGAACTGATCCTTACTTTTTCCACTGGTTAAAATTAAAGTTGTTCAAACACCAAAAATCCCTGTTTTCTCCCTGGTGAACTGTTTGCTTTAGAAATGAGGTTGCTGCATCTGGTGTAAAGGATTCCTGCAATACACATTTCTTAGAGATAACTCTCATGGAGGTTCAGCATAGCTGAGGCAGGTGCTTTGATCTGCGGGACAAGGATGTGTTAACAACATGCAAAATATATTCTGGCAGTTCACATGATATAATTGGATATAAACACTAAAGATGAGCTCTTTGATCTGACTTACATAATGCTTGAAGTTTTTGTACATTTTTTCATCATCCCATTTCAAAGTATTTCTCTGATTTTTATCTGAAGTTTTGGATCACTTCTGTCAACAGAAACCAAGTACTGTACACCCACTGGTGGGTCGCAGGTATTTCTGGGTTGAAAGGTGCAGAGCTGTTTAAAAACTGTACAGCAGCAAATTCAGAAGAGAATATGGAAAAGTTGCACCGTATTTGAAATGACAGTTTTAAAATACTGACAGTAAAGGCTTTAAATTACCTATAAAGGCAGTACAGACAATGGAAAGTTACTAATCTTCACTTCATGAGATAAGAAAGCATAAATCTTATCTGGAGAAAATGGTGAGGTGTGAATTGTTTTTGTGCTGTGGCAAAGATATGTCATAGAAAAGATTTAGCTGAAAATTAGAGCCATTTAGCATCTGAAAGTTTGGTGTAGTGATTTGAATCCATGACTCACTGGCAAAAAATTCATCTCTCACATTATCAGTAGCGTGCCACTTACTAATCTCCTCCTGGTGGGATGTGAGCTGTTGTCTGACTAGCTCACTCTGATAACAGTGCTTAGAAAAAAACACAGAGGCTTGTATATACACTCTACAAATGGAGTTATCCAGGAGTTAACTTGCTGCTGAGAGTCCCTTACTTTCTGTGTTGCTAGTTTATATCCCTGAGGCATTTTGAAACAAGGTTAGTAATTTTTCTTCTCTTTTTCAAGATCTCAACTCTAAGTCTACCTCTTCCTCCAAAAAAATTGATTGGAAATATGGAACGTGAATTCATAGCTGAAAGACAGAAGGGACTCCAGGCCTATCTCGATGTAATTACTACCCATCACATACTGTCCAACTGTGAAGTGGTAAAGAAGTTCTTGGACCCAAACAGCTATTCTGTAAACTACACTGGTAAGTGAGGAGTTGCAAAGCTGCGTTACAGTTTCACTTCAGCACATGTGTGTATCTTCATTAATGCTGGCAAGGATTTACACTGAAACATGGGGGTTGAATGGGGAGACAACCTTCAAAATTGTCATGCTGTGCATATAATTATTTATGATCATGTTTCCCCAGCTCTGTGCATGAATCATGCTGCGATTGTCAAATCTAAATATTTGACTTATTTTACAGAGGAGTGATGAGGGTCAACATCTATATAAGCAGCACATGGAGCAGGGGGGTTGGTGAGAGTGACACAGGTTGTGATAAATGGGGTGGGAGCGTTGGTGTTGGGAGATTGTCTACCAGAGTGTAAAGTGGAGTTCAGTTTGTTCTGTTAAAACAGATTTTCTGAACACTGAATCTTGCTTTCGTCATGGTTCTGAGATTTTTCACATCAACAGGAACAATTGTGGTCACCCTGTCTATCACTTTGGGTTGTGAGACTTCCTAGAACAAATTGTTTGAGCTAGGTTGAGTGGTTTTTCAAGGCTTGAATAAGTTACACTCTCCCTCCAAATACTGGAAAATCACTGCATCCCTTAAAATGGTATTGCAGGGATCAGTTCTAGATTAAATGTTTCTTCTGTGAATTTGTCTGACTTCAGCTTCAGCCATTGGAAATTGTTAAATATTTGTCTTCTAGACTGAAAACAACTTCCTCTTGGTGATGCAACCCACTTTGCAGATTTAGTTCATGATCAAACTGACTCTGTGCAAAATGCAAAGCTTGTTTTCATAAAAGCAGAGCCTACCGAAGCAGGAACTTCTGCTTCCTTTTCACTTGTCTTTTTGCTCTCCTTTTATGTAACATTTTTGTGCCTTCGGCTTCAAAGTGCAAAGAACATTTCCCGGATGTTTATGATAAGCTGTGGAGGAGTTGTAAATTATTAGTAACTCTTTAAGGATGCAGTTTGTCTGGCTAATGCTGAGCAAGCAAGTTAAATCCTCTAGGAAACACTAAGTTTTGTGTTAACTGAGCACTTTCATCAAGATTGTTTTTGCAGCAAGTTGCTGGGAAGTTAGTAGCAAGCAAGTCATTGCCTGTGGTCTTTGGAGACACCATCAGTTTGTAATTTCTTAAATGCTGGAGCAGTGAGCTGATATTTATTGCACCATTCTCTCTTTTTTCTAGCGTATTTTTAGAGAGAGAAGATACAGTTTAGAAAGATCAGTGCATCCTTACCTTTTTGATGTGTTTCTATGCCAGAATAAGCCATGTTAGAGAAATCTTGTTGGCATGATTCCCTTTCTCCCCCTGTTGTCACCACTTGTCACTGAGATTTCCCCTCAAATCTGAATAAACCAGTTGTTTTCCCAGCTGTGGAACAGTTCAGTAACCACAGAGGTGTCCTCTCCCTCCCACCC